CGATCGAGAAGGAAACTGGGCTCCTGCTTCTAGACCTTTTGGAAAGAGCTCACTAACTCGTCTGGGGCTGCTTGGCGATTCCAGAGGCCGCTGTTGCCAAATTTTCTTTCTGCCTCTGAAGAAAAGAAAAGAAATTCTGCCTCTGAAGAGCAGAATTAACATGTGAACAGGCAAAAGCTTTTGCCTGACACAGAGATGATAATAATAATAATAATAATAATAATAATAATAATAATAATAATAATAATTTATTTATGCCCCGCCCATCTGGCTGAGTTTCCCCAACCACTCTGGGTGGCTCCCAATCAAGTGTTAAAAACAGTACAGCGTTAAATATTAAAAACTTCCCTGAACAGGGCTGCCTTCAGATGTCTTTTAAAGATAGGATATCTGCTTATTTCCTTCACATCTGAAGGGAGGGTGTTCCACAGGGTGGGTGCCACTACCGAGAAGGCCCTCTGCCTGGTTCCCTGTAACCTCACTTCTCGCAATGAGGGAACCGCCAGAAGGCCCTCGGCGCTGGACCTCAGTGTCCGGGCTGAACGATGGGGGTGGAGACGCTCCTTCAGGTATACAGGATCGAGGCCGTTTAGGGCTTTAAAGGTCAGCACCAACACGTTGAATTGTGCTCGGAAACGTGCTGGGAGTCAATGCAGATCTCTCAGAACCGGTGTTATGTGGTCCCGGTGGCCACTCCCAGTCACCAGTCTAGCTGCCGCATTCTGGATTAATTGCAGTTTCCGGGTCACCTTCAAAGGTGGCCCCACGTAGAACGCGTTGCAGTAGTTGAAGTGGGAGATAACTAGAGCATGCACCACTCTGGCGAGACAGTCTGCGGGCAGATCAAGTAATGTGGTGGTGAGAAGTGTCCGTAGGTGACATTTCTGGACTGTTGCTAAAAGGCACGGTCAGGGGAGGAGTGGGCAGTGATCCTTGCAAGCAGTAACTCTGTCCATGCTCTGGCGCACCGTTCTCCTGCGTCATTTATTAATTGATATTTTATTGAAACATAAATTCAAATATAAAGAGGTAAAGTGATACAAAAAGAAGGGGGGAATCAAAACACAGACCTGTGTAGAGGGGAGGGGAAGCGTTATATGAATATAGACAAAAAATTGATATTGTTATCCCAATACTAATAGAAATATTAACAGCCTACTGCATTTTCTATACATTCGTTCCAAATATTGCTGTGTTTATCCAAGCAGTCTACGTCTGTAAGCCGTCTGTTCATAGCTTGCAAGTGTTATCATATGATTGATCCACTGATTAAAGGGTATATTGTCTTCTAGTTCATCAATATCAGCCTCTTGGCTACCACGAGAGCACGTAAAATTTGTTTTTGTTGTCCAGTTAACTTCCATATACTGTAGTAGGTATATACCTTCTCCGGCATGTTTTTAAGCTTCAAATACAGCTGTATCACCCACAGACCTGTCAGCTTGGCGATGAGAGATGCCGTAAAGGGTGAAAATCCCAGTAACTCTTACAAGGGTCTCCAAAATACCTTTCAGCCCCTCCCTTGGTCGTGAGGCAGCGAGGGAAGTTCCTATTCTTTCCTTCCCTCAAAAAATCTCTAGAAATCTAAAAGAGGAAGTTTCCTTTTTCACTTCCACTTCCTCTTTCAGATCTTCAGGCTTCTTAGGGAACTCAAGATTAATTCAGCTGAGTCCTACTTTTGGGAACTGTGAAGGGTGCACTTTCTCTCTTCCTGTCTCACGGTATGTTAGACACTCCAAGTGTCCCTATTTCCCAGGGTCCACAGTCCCGGAATTACAGAAGCCGCCCCGGTTTCTGATCCGATCCCACAATGTCCCACTTTTCCTTAGGACGTCCCTATTTTCATCGGAGAAATGTAGGAGGGTATGGAGTTATGCAAGCCAAGGAGACAAATAACTGTACAATCTTTAGAAGACATCTGAAGGCAGCCCTGTACAGGGAAGTTGTTTTTTTTAAGTTTGATGTTTTATTATGTTTTTATATATGTTGGAAGCTGCCCACAGTGGTTGGCGCAACCCAGAGAGATAGGCAGGGTATAAACAGCAACAGCAACAGCAGCAGCAACAACAACAACGGAATAGAACATCCTATTTTCATCGGAGAAATGTTGGGAGGGGGAAGTAGTGAAAAGAATTGGTGGCACTCACATCACTCTTTCCAGAATCCAAATGTGCACCGTCACTAGATATAGTGACCCCCTGGACCAGAGCACACCAGGCACTCCCATCTTCCACTGCCTCCCGCAGTTTGGTCAAACTCATGCTGGTAGCTTCGAGATCACTGTCCAACCATCTCGTCCTCTGTCGTCCCCCTTCTCCTTGCGCCCTCCTCCATCTTTCCCAACATCAGTGTCTTCTCCAGGGAGTCTTCTCTTCTCATGAGGTGGCCAAAGTCTTGGAGCCTCAGCTTCATGATCTGTCCTTCCAGTGAGCACTCAGGGCTGATTTCCTTCAGAATGGAGAGGTTTGATCTTCTTGCAGTCCATGGGACTCTCAAGAGTCTCCTCCAGCACTAGAATTCAAAAGCATCCATTCTTCGGCGATCAGCCTTCTTTATGGTCCAACTAGATAGATAGATGATAGATAGATGATAGATAGATAGATAGATAGATAGATAGATAGATAGATAGATAGATAGATATAGATAGATGATAGATAGATAGATAGATAGATAGATAGATAGATAGATAGATAGATGATAGATAGATAGATAGATAGATAGATAGATAGATAGATAGATAATTTATTATGGTCAGAGACCAACTTATAAAACACACTTGGGGGTACAGTCACAGAAGGAAAACACTGTCACTAATCAAAATATCTACATGGACTCCAGCTTACATTCCAAGTTTGTGGGAGGTAACGGATATTTCTATTTTTTATTCTTCAAATAAAGTAATAATTAATAATTAAAATAGGCCCCGAAAGGGTGGCAGCCCCTGCCTTAAAAGGCACAGGAACACTGCACACTTACTTATCAAACCTTTATTAGGCATTGTGCAAATAAAACCATAAAAGAGGAAATAACATATAAAAGCCTTGAAATATATATAAAAGGCAGCAGTTGGCTACATACATATATATATATATACATATAAAATCAGTGGTTTTCCTTGTTAACCTGCTCCTTGGAGGACTGCTACCAAAAACTCGGCTACCCCTGCCGTTACCCTTTGGTCGACGTCGGATAGGCAGAATCCCACACATTCACCTTGCTGGGGTTCCAGACCACCCAAAAGAGGGGACAGCACGCGTTGACGTGGGATACTGTACAATGGGCAATGAAAGAGAATATGCTCTACAGTGTCCGGGACATTCATAGAACATCTGCAGAATCTCTTGTTTCTAGGAATGTTTTGATATCTTCCCCTGACAAATGCTGAGGGAAAAACATTCAAACGGGCCAGCATAAAAGCCCTACGTTGGGCTGGGATTATTAATTTAGTGACGTAATTGGCTCTGCTATCTAAGATATTTAAATCATAGAATATGGGGGAGCAAATTTTGTTTACAGCTGCCATAATATTTTGTCTCTCGACATCCTTTAGTCTAGTTAGGATATTATGGAAAATGTATTGCTCATTAGAATTGTACAGGGGCTCCAGCTCGATGCCTAAAGATTCAATCTTTTTTTCGAGGTACTGATACCATCTTGATTTATAGGAGTCTTTGAGCAAATCAGCGAGCAGACTTGATGGAGGGCAGCGAAAATGGCAGCGTAACCAGTACTTTATTGAGGTGGACCATGCCCAATATTCCATTGTGTGTATGCCTATTTCTGCACACATTGTTTCATATTTGATCACAGCTGGGAGTCCAAGAATACGTCTCAGAAAGCTGGAGTGAATCTTTTTTAAATCACTGTTGTATGCTTGGACCCATAGCGGGATTCCATAGAATATCTGGGATTGCACTTTTGTTTGAAATATCTGATTGGCCGCAGGAATAAATTGATTACCTTTCTGATAATAAAAACGGGCAACTGCTGATGAGGTACACTTTGCCTGTTTTATGGCATTTGTGCGATGATTTGCCCACCCTAAATTGCTCTGGAATAAGATTCCCAGATACCTATAGATTTTCACTTGTTGGATTTCTTGCCCTCTTATTTTCCATTTCTCTAATTTCCAACCATTCGAGAAGACCAAAATTTTTGTCTTCTCATAATTTATAGAGAGTTTGTTACATTCGCAGTAAAGGATCAGAGAAGATATAAGACGTTTCAGACCCAAGCTCGTTAATGATAGTAGGACAGCATCGTCTGCGTATAATAAGAGAGGAACTGGTTTCTGATTAAGTTTAGGGGCATGTGATTCTATTTTTTGGAGGTGATCTGGCAAGTCTGATAAAAATAAATTAAATAGAAAGGGAGCGAGAATACACCCTTGTTTTACCCCTTTCGAGTTTGGGATGTCTGATGAAAGGTGACCTTTGGTGTTAAGTTTGACTTGACAGGTATTGGAAGAGTATAGATTTTGTATTAGAATCAATAAGCGCTGATCAATTTTTAATTCTGCGAGTTTCCTCCACAGCTTTGGGCGGTCAATTGAGTCGAATGCACCACGAAAGTCTACAAAAGCAGCATATATCTTAGATTGCCTTTGGGATCTATATTTTTCAACCAAATGCATAAGTATAAGGCAGTGGTCTAATGTAGAGCAACCTTTGGAGAAACCTATTTGTTCTTTCCCTGGTAAATTTAGATTTTTCATCCAGGTAAGGAGTTTAGATAAAAGGTGCTTAGCGTAGATTTTCCCTATCACTGATAATAGGCTTATCGGTCTGTAATTCCTTGGTTCTTTTGGGTCGCCATTTTTAAAGATTGGGATAATTATTGATCTTAACCATATCTCAGGTATGATCCCATATTTATCTATGAGAGTAAACAATTGAGCTAAGGGTTCTGCCCACCAATCTATGTAGGTCTGCACACACACACCCCAAGTCTGGATGCTGGCAACCTTAATCTTTAACACACCATTCTCGAATCTATTTGCTAACATGAGCTCATGCGGACGGTTGCATCACCTTGAGAAGGATCCCAGCCCCACCTTGGTCACAGCTAAATGGATTTGAATTCAAGCTGCCTGATTCACAGGTGGGTTCGGCCCTCTGGTGGCTTCAATGCCTGGCTAACCACAAAGCAGCCGTTTCAACATTGTCTTTGTTTTAGAGTTTATGCGATTCATTGTTCCTCTCGGCTGATGAAGCGAAGCCTTGGCAGCAGAGATCGATGCCAGGGAGGCCATGGGAACAGGTGGGAAACTTCGCCAGCTGATGCGCCGAGCATCATGTGCCGATGCTCAGAGCTGTAGAATCTGTGGCCCACCAAACCGGCAGGTGGGGTGTAGTTTAGGGACAAAGCACCCCAGCAAATATTTCACAAGCATCTGCTTATGAAGAACATACTGGCCTTGGCCCAGTGTACCTGAAGGAGCGTCTCCACCCCCATTGTTCTACCCGGGCACTGAGGTCCAGCGCCAAGGGCCTTCTGGTGGTTCCCTCGCTGTGAGAAGCCAAGTTACAGGGAACCAGGCAGAGGGCCTTCTCGGTAGTGGCGCCTGCCCTGTGGAACACCCTCCCATCAGATGTCAAAGAGAAAAACAACTACCAGACTTTTAGAAGACATCTGAAGGCAGCCCTGTGCAGGGAAGCTTTTAATGTTTAATAGGTTATTGTATTTTAATATTGTGTGGGAAGCTGCCCAGAGTGACTGGGGAAATCCAGCCAAATAGGTGGGGTATAAATAATAAATTATTATTATTATTATTATTATTATTATTATTATTATTATTATTACAGTATTACCTCAGGTTAAGTTGCGTATGATCAGCACTCACTCAGATGTTTCAGCATCTTCCCCATCGGTTTTATTTCCCCCCAAACATGTTCATTCATTTATTTGTAATTTCCGTAAACATTGGGGTTCCCTCAGGGTCCACTGCTCTCTCCCTCATGCGTGTGGGTGGCTCCCAAAAGCGGCACCGTCCACAGTTTTGAGGTGATTAGCGAAGGAAATCTGCCCTTTGGATCCGCCGAGATTTCCAGAAGCTATTAGTTAATTTGTTGTAAAGGTTAATGAATGGAGGAAACTGCCGGAGAGGGGAGAGGCTAATCCATAGAGAGAGAGGTGAATGCATATATATATCCACTACAATAAATTCTTCAGGGGAAAGTGCTTGTGTTCAGGCTGCCAGCCAGGCCAGCCACACCCTTTCCAAACAACTCCATTCCGCTATAGCCGGCACCAACATTCTGCAGCCATTGAGCATGTTGTTGCTTAGTCGTTTAGTCATGTCCAATTCTTTGTGACGCCCTGGACCAGAGCACGCCAGGCACTCCTGTCTTCCACTGCCTCCCGCAGTTTGGTCAAACTCATGTTGGTAGCTTCCAGAACACTATCCAACCATCTCGTCCTCTGCCGTCCCTTCTCCTTGTGCCCTCCATCTTTTCCAACATCAGGGTCTTTTCCAGGGAGTCTTCTCTTCTCATGAGGTGGCCAAAGTACTGGAGTCTCAGCTTCAGGATCTGTCCTTCCAGTGAGCACTCAGGACTGATTTCCTTCAGAATGGAGAGGTTTGATCTTCTTGCAGTCCATGGGACTCTCAAGAGTCTCCTCCAGCACCATAATTCAAAAGCATCAATTCTTCGGCGATCAGCCTTCTTTATGGTCCAGCTCTCACTTCCATACATCACTACTGGGAAAACCATAGCTTTAACTATACGGACCTTTGTTGGCAAAGTGATGTCTCCGCTTTTTAAGATGCTGCCTAGGTTTGTCATTGCTTTTCTCCCAAGGAGCAGGCGTCTTTTAATTTCATGGCTGCTGTCACCATCTGCAGTGATCATGGAACCCAAGAAAGTAAAATCTCTCACTGCCTCCATTTCTTCCCCTTCTATTTGCCAGGAAGTGATGGGACCAGTGGCCATGACCTTCGTGTTTTTTTTATGTTGAGCTTCAGACCATATTTTGCGCTCTCCTCTTTGGGGCCATTGAGCCTGCTCATCCCTTATTTGGCTTTGCTGGGTTCCTTTCTCCACCCCTCCAGGTTTGCTGATATATCCGCCTCATTACCGAGGGATGCCATTCTGGCTGCGTAAGGCTCCAGGTTCAGAGAACAAGTTCACTATTCACTTAAAAGGGTTGGGGATCCTATTCAGCCTAAGGGCCACCATTCCTTTTGAGAAACCTCCCAGGGGCCACATGCCAGCAGTGGGTGGGTGTCAAAAGAGGGTGGAGCGATGGGTGTAAATTTTCACTTTGGGCAGTAAGCTAGTTTCTACGCTCATTCACAAATCCCTCTCCCTATTCTCCATCAAGGGAGGCCAGTGGTGTTATCAGAGTTCAAGGATATGGCCCAAGAGCCACATTCCCTTCTGGGAAACATTTTGGGGGCCACGGGCCAGTGGCGGGCGGGGCAACAAATGTGACAAGGGCGAGCTAGCAATAAATCACACAGAGTAAGTGAAGGTAACTATTCGAGGAAACCGGATCTGCTAAAGGGTACCAGGCCTAGTAAGCACAGCAATTCTTGTTCGGTAGGTCTTGCCCCTATGAGGCAGTTGCAGGGACTGAAGGCCCCCTCCTTCCCACAGCTGCTTAAGCCTCCTCCTTTCTCAGGTTTCCCCCAAGCAATCTGAGACTGTGCCTGTGCAAAGCTAACTTATTCTCCACCCTTTTCATGCCTCTTCTGGTTCTGGGAGACCAGAGGAGAGGAGAGTTTGTTGCAGCAGGAGAGGGAGACCAGCTGGACTTCACCAGCCTGACTCATCTCTGCCTCTTGGCCTTCCTACTCTCCAGTGTCACAGTTACAGGCGGTCAAAGTCCTGGCGGAGGACGTCAGGACCAGGGACAAGGCGGCAGGGTGGGAGCAGGAATGAGAGTCCGGAAGCCAGGAGTCAGGAAGCCAAGGGTCAGAGAGCTGGGAGTCAAGAAGCCAAGGGTCAGAGGGTCAGGAAGCAAGGAGTCAAGGAGCCAAACACAGCAAGGCAGGAAATGTGCTGCTGTGGCAAAGAGCCAAAGGGAAATGCTGACCTTATATCCCTTCCCAGCTCTTGCCACCTGGTGCTGTGAGTTACCAGTCGGCCTCACCTGTGTGGCTGTGCCTTGCCTCTTCAGAACAAAATTAGGAAAGCCCCAGTCCTGTGAAGCCCTACGGGTCACAGGGCCTGGCTCCTGCACGCACTCCAGTTTCTGCTTCTGCCTCTGATTCTGGACTCCTCTCTGCCACAGATTCTCCCTGCTCACTAAACCCTGTTGCCTCTTCAGCTTCCGATACCTCCTCCTCCCAGTCTTCACCCTCTTCTCCCTCTGACCACTTGCACTGTTGTCCCACCACCCATCTCCAGGCTCTGAGCCTCCTTCCCTTGGGGGTCTTCCAGTCAATGCCTCCCACCGTTCCTCTGCGTCCAACAAAATGTAAAAATTTGCCACTGTACATTAGCCTATCTTACACACAGACGTCCCTCTCTGTTCTCCATCCAGACAAGGAAAAGGCATGGGCAGATTTTAAGGGCACATTCCCAGCAGGCAAAAATACTCAAGGTGCGAAACGTAAGGGGTCAATGAGGGGCGTGGTCTTGGGAGAGTCTTGTGCGCCAGATAGAGAGGCCTGGTGGGTCACATGTGACCCGCGGGCCGCAGGTTCCCCACCCCTGGCATATACAATGGAGTACATCATATGATTGGAAGGGACGCGGGTGGCGCTGTGGGTTAAACCACAGAGCCTAGGACTTGCCGATCAGAAGGTCGGCGGTTCGAATCCCTTTGACGGGGTGAGCTCCTGTTGCTCAGTCCCTGCTCCTGCCAACCTGGCAGTTCGAAAGCACGTCAAAGTGCAAGTAGATAAATAGGTACCAGTCCGGCGGGAAGGTAAACAGCGTTTCTGTGCGCTGCTCTGGTTCGCCAGAAGCGGCTTAGTCATGCTGGCCACGACCCGGAAGCTGTACGCCGGCTCCCTCGGCCAATAAAGCGAGATGAGCGCTGCAACCCCAGAGTTGGCCACGACTGGACCTAATGGTCAGGGGTCCCTTTACCTTACCGTTACATCATATGATTAGGGCTGCCTCACCTGCCAACTCAAATGCTACAAGCTGCAAATCTAAAGTGCTGGGAGCGGGAAGCGTCGAGAACACGCTGGTGCCGGGTGTGTTCGCCCAGGGCTGGCCAGCCGTTCCCAGGGAAATCGCTACCTGTGCTAATGGAGCCCTTATCAGCTTGTTTCCACCCTCCTTAATTGCAGAGTTGTTCACTGCTGCTTCTAATGTGCGCTTGCTTGCAGGATCTCTTTTTATGTATACTTTCTGCTTTGCAGGATGAGCTTCCCAAGCTCTCACCCAGGGCGAATGCTGTATAGTCAAAGGCTTCATGGCCTGAGCTGCCCCACAGGTTCAAATCAAGAAACCAAGGGTCCTTCTCCCATTCCTGGGTTGGCCTCCAACATTTCTCAGGGATGCAGGGATGCAGGTGGCGCTGTGGGTTAAACCACAGAGCCTAGGACTTGCCGATCAGAAGGGAGGCGGTTCGAATCCCCGCGACGGGGTGAGCTCCCGTTGCTCGGTCCCAGCTCCTGCCAACCTAGCAGTTCGAAAGCACGTCAAAGCGCAAGTAGACAAATAGGTACCGCTCTGGCGGGAAGGTAAATGGCATTTCCGTACGCTGCTCTGGTTCGCCAGAAGCGGCTTAGTCATGCTGGCCACATGACCTGGAAGCTGTACACCGGCTCCCTCGGGCAACAAAGCAAGATGAGCGCCGCAACCCCAGAGTCAGCCATGACTGGACCTATCAGTCAGGGGTCCCTTTACCTTTTAAGGAAAAGTGGGACATTGGGGGATCAAATCAGAAACAGGCACAGCTTCTGTAAATCCAGGACCGTCCCTGGAAAATAGGGACACGGAGGATCTGGATCAGGCTCTTCGTGTGTTCTTAACCGTGTGCTCCTTCAGGAGGAAGGGCAGGATATAAATTTAATGAAGAAATAAACAAATCCCACCATACAGTTCACTTCCCTGCTTTCTCCTTTTCAGATCCTGCCTGGCCAATGGACATGGAGACACCTCTGGAGAAAGCCCTGGCGACGCTTGTGTACACCTTCCACAAATATTCAGGGAAAGAAGGGGATAAGTTTACTCTGAGCAAGGGAGAGCTGAAGGAGCTGGTGAAGAAGGAGCTGGCACTTGGAGAGGTCGGTGCCCCAGCGGATTGGGTGAGGTGGGGGGGGTGGCCCCAAAACACAACGCAAGGTTGGGGGAACCAGCGTTCCACCCTCAAGATGTGCATCTTCCATCAGGACCACGGCTGAGTGGCAGAGCGTCTGCCTTGCATGCAGAAGGTCCCGGGTTCGAGTCCTGACATCTCCTGGTAGGACTGGGAAAGACTCCCAGTCTGAAACCCTGGAGAGCCACGGACAGTCAGTGGCGAGGGGCCTGATCCTGATACACATCCTTGGAGGGGACAAGGAGGTGCAACAAGTCAAAATGTGGGGCTTGCACATGGGACAAACAGTGGGGAGTTTGGAGTTTGGATAAGTCTTTCCTTCCTTTCCCCATCTTTCCCTTAATCACTTTATGCCTTAGTTTCCTTCCAGGTGACTGACTTTCCTTTAAAAAAATATATATTAAACTTTATTTAACATAATTATTACAAAATACAGGCAAAATACATACAAATACATACATATATTTTTCAGATAAGCACACATATATAAAAAGAACAAAAAAAGAAAAAAGGAAGAAAAGAAAAAATGAGAAAAATTGGAAGAATTATTTATTCTACAAATATCTCAATAATAAAATTTCATTGACTGACTTCCATCACTTGCACTGCACTTCCTATATACATTTTAAGCAAATTTGTATCTGTTATTCCATATTTTTCCCATACAATCTCATACAAATATTCTAATCAAGTTTTCTAAATCTTTCATAAATCTATTCTAAACACAATCAATACCTTACATCTCAGTCTTAAAGTAAACCCATTAAAATGAATGAGCATGACGTAATATATTTCAGTGAATGGCAATGGATCTAACTCTGAGTACAGCTTAGGCCCTATTCACACCATATATTTAAAGCACTATGATACCTCTTTAAACAGTTGTGGCTTCCCCCAAAGCATTATGGGAGCTGCGGTGTGTTAAAGGTGCCAAGAGTTGTTCGGAAGTCTCAATTCCGCTAAAACCTCCAGGGTGGTTTAACAACCAGTCCTACTTCCCAGGAATTCTGGGAACTGTAGTTCTGTAGCGGGAAATAGCCGGCGCCTCATAACAACTCTCAACACCCTTAACAAACTACAGCTCCCATAATTCTTTGGGGAAAGTCATGACTATTTAAAGTATTAAAGGTAGAGGGACCCCTGACCATTAGGTCCAGTCGTGACCAACTCTGGGGTTGCGGCGCTCATCTCGCTTTATTGGCCAAGGGAGCCAGTGTACAGCTTCCGGGTCATGTGGCCAGCATGACTAAGCCACTTCTGGCGAACCAGAGCAGCGCACGGAAATGCCGTTTACCTTCCCGCCAGAGCGGTTCCTATTTATCTACTTGCACTTTGACGTGCTTTCGAACTGCTAGGTTGGCAGGAGCAGGGACCGAGCAACGGGAGCTCACCCCCTCGCAGGGATTCGAACCGCCGACCTTCTGATTGGCAAGTCCTAGGCTCTGTGGTTTAACCCACAGTGCCACCCACATCCCATTTAAAGTATTGGAGAGCTTGAAATGTATCATGTGAATACGGCCTCGGTTGGATGCAACCCTTAAGTTTTGAAAGAGAATTAAATTTGTGAGGGGGGTTCAGTGTCCCCCATAATCAGACATGTACCCCAATCTCTCCCCTCTCTCTTTCCTTTGCCCCCCTTTCCCTCGCAGAAGATGAAGGCAGGTGGAATTGACAAGCTGATGGGAACCCTGGACAAGAACAAGGATGATGAGATTGACTTCAAGGAGTACACGGGCTTCCTGACGGCCCTTTGCATGACCTACAACGATTTCTTCCAGCAGGATTCAAAATAAGGGAGAGGGTGGGGTAAATCTCCAGCAGTCGGTGCCCTGCATCACTCAGAGCCAATGTGGCAACTTTAAATAAAGGTCTCAACCTCCAGAAACTGGTTCAACCGTTTAGTCCCGAGGGTTGATTCTTTGTAGCCACATGGAACAGGGATCCTTTGGAGAAGGTGGGCAGGATCAGTCCGGAGGCTACAATCTGTGGCCCTCCAGATGTAGTTGGACTCCAAATCCCATCACCCCTGACCTGCTGCAAGACTGTCCCACATTTCTTTGGCAGTTTTCTTATTCCTTATGTATACTACTTGCTGGTCGCTGACAGCCAAATTAATTATCGCCCTGGCTTTCGCATCTCCTTTCAACCAAGCATTAGTCACAGGGTCATCGGTTACATAGGTCCAAACTTCCCGAGAGGTCAAAAGTGCCTCCACCCCAAACGGCCATAAACTGTAGTTCTCATCTGTCAGCTGTGGGAACATCAGAGCGTTCTCAGCTTCTGGAAGCCAGTCAACCATTCTAGAACTCTTCCAGACCCACAGAACCACACCAACAGGAGAAGGAGCTTTCAAACCTTTCTTAAAGTCCAAAAATGTGCAGTCGTTCACTCAGCAGCTGGGCCCATAACCAAAGATGTTGGTTATTTTGCAGACTAGTTGTGCTGCAGAAAGCGTGCCTGGGGAGACCACACATTCATGAAACGCAAAATAACTTTTCCTAGGTTTTAATAACAAACAAAAAAACTCCTTTTACACTAAATTATCAAGAAGCATGACCCATCCACCAGGGTACTGAGAGAGCTACTTGCTGCTCTTTATATACCGTACCCAACTGCTTAATTACCACAGCTTAACAGCACCTGCTATAGTGCTTCACAGCTGTAAAACTAGGTCACATTATTTGCTCTGGCCTTTAAAGAAACTACAACTCCCATCATCTTTGACCATTGGCCATGCTAGCAGGGGCTGGTGGGAGTTGGGATCCAGCAACAGCTGGAGGGCCGCAGATTCCCCACCCAAGCTTTAGATGCAGAAGCTTCCCCCAGGATCTCTAGGTAAGGAGAGACTCCTTTAAAGCCCTTGGAAGCCACTGCTGAGCTGTGTTGTCAATGGGCCAACACTCAGATTTGATATTAGTAAGCACACCCACAAATTGCCAACTTTAAAATGAAAGAGTTGACAAGCGGCCCCGCAAGATGCTTCAAAGTCTTTTCTAGATAAGGAGACATGTCTCTGTAGATCAGGCAGACAGGAAGTTCCGCGGAGGCAGACAGGAAGTGGCAATGCCCAATAGAAACCCAGCTGAGAAACAATCTCAGTGCCCTTTCCTTAGAGACAAAACTCAGATCTGTGTTTAAGATGGCGGTAAGTCCCAATGGGTTCCACAGGGCTTACTCCAAAGTAAGTGAACCTAGGGTTTTCTGAGAGGGGCTGAGCTACGAATAATAATGTGTATTTATTTATCCTGCAAAGGCCAAAATAGGCTTCTAAGCAGTACAAAATCCAATTTATTTATTTTTACAGTTATATTCCACCTTACCTCCGAGATGATCAAGGTGGCATACACCCCCCATTTTAAGGCAAAACCACGAGCCGGTGTTGTTAAGTTGTGGGTGAACATAGCAGACGACACAGCGATTCTTCAAACAGCTCTTGTTTATTCACAGGCCAGAACAGAACTGAACTGAAGGGCTCAGTCAGCCTGCTTATATAGAGCTCCAGTACAACGTTACTGTAGCAACTTTCTAAAACTATCCAATCACTGAACGTCACTTTCGATCCTTCATTTCCATAACTATCTACAGTATCCCCCTGCTGGCCCAGGGTGAGAACTTCAGTACATAACAGGTGTGGTAATGTGGAGAACAGAAGATAACCCTGGGGAGTTGAGAAACCGAAATGGGCAACATTCGCCCATCCTTAGCTAGGACTGGAGCAGAGTCAGGTTCCCACAATTCCTGTAGGGACTCAGGCTCTCTCCAGTCCTGGTTAGAGAACGCTTCCTTTTGTAAACAAAAGTTTCCTGTTGCACCTGGAGCGAACAGAGAACAGAGAAGCCCTCAGAGGCATGATCTCATTCATGCGTGCTCAGATTTCCTATTCATTGCCATAGCAGGTTGATGTGGACTCAAGGCCGGTGTTTGTTCAGCCGAGGAGCTGGGCTGTGTTCCAGGTGAGACCCAGCATCTGGGATGGGGTGAATTCACCGACGAATATGCAAATGGCTGGTTGATTTAAACTGTAATAAACAAAAACCTGCCCTTATTCCCTTATGGGGGACACAAGAGCCCTGATAGAGTCCTTTGCAGGTTCTCCATCAGTCGGAGAAAATAACAGAGGCCAACCAGAGAATATTGAGAAGCAAGGCAGCTAGTAAGCCTGATCTTTATTGAACTGTTGCAACAGGGTGCTCCGCTCACATACAGGAAAGGAGGAGGACCCAGAACAAAGGTGTGCCCGCCCTTATATAGACATTTTAAATTGCCCACCCTGGAGTCCAAGACCACCCCCGAAACATCATATATACATCACAGAAGGGGTGTAACTCAAGACCACCCCTCGATGCATCATCCCTACATCACAGAAGGGCGGTCTACAACAGAAATCTGAGTGCTTTGTTTATCTCCTGTCGGGCAGACCTATTAATGGTCACTTGGTTGGATACCCTGGGGAGCCTGGCCAGTCTTTTGCAATGACAAATACTTAGTTCCTGATCCAGGTCACAGGCTCACCCTATTCCTACACAGGCATACCCTTAAGATGGGATTTGTGAAGGAGGAGACAATGGGGAGGCTTTTCCATTTTCCTTCCACCTTGCAGAGAAATGTTTGAGGTCAATTTGAGAGGGACAAAATGGTTTCAGGACTTTCTGTGGGGTTTCAGACATGTGGTTTATATATCGATGTATGTGCTTGGTTGGTGCATTTCTGAACTACAGTGGTACCTCGGGTTAAGTACTTATTTCGTTGCAGAGGTCCGTTCTTAACCTGAAACTGTTCTTAACCTGAAGCACCACTTTAGCTAATGGGGCCTCCTGCTGCCGCCGCACCGCCGGAGCACAATTTCTGTTCTTATCCTGAAGCAAAGTTCTTAACCTGAAGCACTATTTCTGGGTTAGTGGAGTCTGTAACCTGAAGCGTATGTAACCCAAGGTACCACTCTATCTATCTATCTGTCTATCATCTATCTATCTATCTATCTATCTATCTATATCTATCTATCTATCTATCTATCTATCTATCTATCTATCTATCTATCTATCATCTATCTATCTGCCCTTAATTTTTTTATTTCAAAACATATATATAAAAAACAAACCAATGGGCTGCAGAAGGCAGCAACCAGCAGCTTTCAGCCTGCAGAACTACCCACATCCAGCCTGAAGCAGACCCTTGCGCTACCTAATGTTAGGGCCGGCCATATCAAAGTTTGCAGAACTACCCAAAAGCACATATTTAGGCTGGGAAAAGAAAACCTTATGTGGAAGGGAACCCTGTCCAACGAGGGCAGAACGTGCTCCGTGGCTGCAGGGTGTAATAATAATAATAATAATAATAATAATAATAATAATAATAGTTTATTTTTTGTACCCTGCCCATGTGGCTGGGTTTCCCCAGCCACTCTGGGCGGCTTCCAACAAGGATTAAAAATACATCAAAATGTTATGGGGAAGGGGCGTGACCCAGTGCAAGAGCAGCCGTTTGGCGTGCAGAAGGTCGCAGGATCGATCCCCAGTGCCATCTCCCGGAAGGGTTGGGAGAGACTCCCTGTCTGAATTCCTGGAGAAACCACTGTCTGTCTGCAGGTGTACCAATGATCTGACTCGGTGTCAGAGAAATTCCTACGTTGGCTCACCTGGAATGGAAGAGAATAGAAAAACCAGGGGAGCAAGGAGGGAGAACGGAATGGAGTTTCCTGGAAGAGGGTGCGGCTTGTTAGCTACAACCCTCAGCGGGAACACACTGCAACCTTTCCTTCTGGGTTGCATCCGTTTCGGATGCATTCAAATGTGCTCACAACAGTGGCGTAGCGTGGGTTGTCAGCACCCGGGGCAAGGCAAGTAATTTGCGCCCCCTAACCCGTGGATTTTTGGGGGGGACGCGGGTGGCGCTGTGGGTAAAAGCCTCAGCGCCTAGGGCTTGCAGATCGAAAGGTTGGCGGTTCGAATCCCCGCAGCTGGGTGCGCTCCCGTTGCTCGGTCCCAGCGCCTGCCAACCTAGCAGTTCGAAAGCACCCCCGGGTGCAAGTAGATAAATAGGGACTGCTTACTAGCGGGAAGGTAAACGGCGTTCCGTGTGCGGCTCTGGCTCGCCAGAGCAGCGATGTCACGCTGGCCACGTGACCCGGAAGTGTCTCCGGACAGCGCTGGCCCCCGGCCTATAGAGTGAGATGGGCACACAACCCTAGAGTCTGGCAAGACTGGCCCGTACGGGCAGGGGTACCTTTACCTTTTTTTAACCCGTGGATTTGCGCCCCCTAACCTGTGGATTTGCCTAACCCCCAGATGTTGCGCCCGGTGCGGCCGGCCCCCCTGCACCCCCCACGCTACGCCACTGGCTCACAATCCTCTGGGCGGTTTTGGAAGGAAGCGAATTTCTTTCCAAACGGTACTGTGTTGTTCCAAGCCAATTTTCAAGGACTGCCCTAGCCATGGTGTGCGGTCCTTGCCTGGGCTGCAATGCATTCATTTTACAGGAGGCAATTACGTTTGATCTAATGTGTTTTTCCCCAGAGAAAAAAAAGGGGGGAATACCATCCATTGCTTTTTAATTGGCAGTGCAGGGTGAGGCAGGAGGCTGTTGCAGAGAAAATGAAAACTGGAACACAGAGGGCCAAAATAAACAAAGCAGCAGCAATTTTGCAGGGCGGAATTTAGCCAGCGCCCCTTGATCTGATAATGAAGGCATTGCACAATATGCAGTGAGGGGGCTGGCCCGTTAGGGGGAAAGGGGGTACTTGCCCCACCAGCCTCGACCCACCCCAAGTCTGCAGGTGCCTTCCTTCCTTCTTACAACTGCTTCCTCTTCCTCAGTCTCAGGGTTGCTCCTCAGCAGGGAGGAGGAGGATGGGGACAAAAGTAGGATTAGTGGGCTCTG